ATTTGTTCAATTCTTTCTATTTGTTTATAACAGTTGGTTTCATGGCATATTTAATCCTGGTTATCCTCCACATCTTATTTCTAATAATTCAAGTAACAGTTCATTCAATTATGATCATCATTGCCTTTGGTTCAATTGCTCTCATTGTTATTATCATTAGATATTCCGCCATTCCGCCCCATTTGGTATCAAAACCAAGTGACTATATATATATAGCATACATTTTAGTAAATTTCCTAAATTGTTTTGGGAAAATAGATAGACCAACACATCCATATGTTGACATTTGTAATTAGTTTTATTTTCCTCCTTGTCCGATATTATATTTTCCTTGTTCAGTCAGACAACTTCAATTTTAATATTGGAGTGTTGTTAAATGAACACAACTATGACCTATGGGCACCTCTCATTGAGATGCACATAGGCGGACGAAAGAAGATGGGATATTTTTTGTGGCTCGAGTAAGGTTCCAGCCAAAGACGATCCCAAGTACGATGATTAGTACTTCGAGACCAGAAAGTCAGGAGCTAGCTTCTATCCTCCATGAAGCCAGAGCTGAGGAAGCGATATATTCGCTTACTGACTGCAACTAACATCTGGAAAGCCTTGAAGATTGCTTTCTTTGATGAAAAGAACGAAGTGCGATTGTATACCTTGAGTCAGAAGGTATCTCACCTCCGAAAAAATGGATGACTTGTGTCTACCTACTTTGGTGAACTCACTTAAAATTGTCAAGAGTTAGATCATTACAGTAAGTTATCCATGCTTTGTGAAAAAGATATTAAGATTTATCATGAATCACATGAGTGGTAACGAGTTTAACTTTTCCTAGGAGGCCTTGCTGATAAATTTGAATAAGTTCTTGGTGAGATTATAAGCAAAGAACCAACTCAGGCCTTGAACCATTATATGCCTATGTACGTTGCGAGTCAAACATGAAAGATGTTATGAAGGGTGAGAAGGAGAAGACTGAAGCAATGGTTGTTCGTAATCGCCACAGAATCGGTCTAATTCATTTGGTTTAGGGGGTCGACCGTACACTGATTCATCTGAATGCAATGAGCGTAGCAAGTATGCCTATTGCAATCTTCCTTATCACTCAAAAGCTATATACTACGAGCTAATTGGTTATCCCGAAGGGCGAGTTAAAAATTGTGAACCTTACCACAACCAATAACGTGATGCCATTGCTAAGACAAAGGATGAACCAGAACTTATGGTTGAGCTAGCCACGACCTTAATCACTTCTATAGGTAACAAGCTTTTTATTCTGTTAAGAATAATACTTAGATAATTGACTCTGGTGCTACTACATATATGTATGACATTTGATTCTAAACATGTTTGAAACATAAGACCATCTATTTAGACTATTACCATGATTGATGATGGTGCCACCCTTATTTTTGGAGAGCTACGATATCCCTTACTAATAATATTAACCTTGATACAGTTCTCATGGTTTCGTTACTTGCTTATAATCTATTGTTTTTTTTTATGGCTCAAATAAGCATTATCTTACATTGTTTGGTTGTTGTCGTTGTTGTTTTTTTTGTTTTTTTTTTGCCTCATTTTTTGTGTTTAAGGACATTCAAACTTGGAGGACAATTGGTTATGGCACTAGGAAGTGGAAGTTGTATTACCTGGACTTGACATTAGAGAGCAATCGTCGTTTGACTCAAGCTTTGTCAATTAATAGTTCTCTGGTGGAGCTAAAGTCTATGTCTGAGATTTGGTTGTGGCATTATCATTTAGGACATGCCTCGTTTGATTATTTATAGAAACTATTTCTGACTTTGTTTTTTAAGTGTGATGTTTGTGAACTAGCTTATGGCCAATGTGATGTTTTCAATTTCACCTAGTTTGACTAAAAGTTTGGTACCATTTATGTTAGTTCATTACGATAGTTGGGTCTATCTAAGCTTGCTACTTTAGGCAGTGCCTATTCGTTTGTAACCTTTATTGATGATTGCACTCGCATGGCGTGGGTTGTTTTGATGAAAAACAAGAGCGACATGTTTTCTGCATTTCAGAAATTCCATAAAATGAGACAGTTCAATATAAAAGCACAGGTACCCGTACTTTGTAGTGATAATGGCTAAGAATATGTAAATAATGATCTCCAAACCTTTCTTAATGATCATAGTATTGTTCATCAGATAACTTGCCCGTATACACCACTAGTATTACTAAGGGAAAAATAGACATCTTTTCAATGTAGTCCGATCATCTTTGTTTGATGCAAATGTACCATTGTATTATTGGGGTGAAGCCCTTGTTTCTGTTGTTTACTTGATTAACAAGGTGACATCTTGCACTATTGATTTTCAAACTCCACATGATACTTTACACTTACTTAGTGCCACACCACCTACATTGAATCTGCCGCCACATGTTTTTGGATATGTTGCTTACATACATTTCCATAAGCAACAACGTAGTTAAGTTGGAACCTAGAGCTTTGAAATGCATCTTTGTTGGGTATGCATGTCGTAAAAAAAGGTGTCATTGCTATCATCCTCCCACCAAGAAGACACTTGTCACCATGGATGTGTCGTTCAACAAGTCCGTTATGTATTATCCGACATTTGAGTCTTCACTTTAGGGGGAGAGGCAACATGAAGTACAGACGTTTGACTCTATTGTTGTGTCTAATACTGTTGAGAGATGTAATAAAACGGTTAAGAGATGTAGCAATTATCCAACCCAATTACCATCAACATCGAGCTACCAACATTTGTTAATGAACCAGACCAATTCTGAGAGTTCAACAGTTGACACCGATGTACCAGCAGCTAGCATTGAGCAATAGTACAGCCGGAGGCAGAGGTATCCACGATTTTCCCTTTGCCTGATCCCGATAGCCATAACCAATCTCCTCCAGTACTAGATGTTCTACCACTATCACAACTTTCACCAAGAAGTAATCAAGGTATTCCAAAACCCACATATGAGTCTGATCCTAAATGCATAGCAAAATACCCATTGTGTAACTATGTGTCCACTGTTCATTTTGTAAAAATCAAATAAAGCATTTGTAAGTCAATTATCCTCTGTATTTATTCCTAACATAACCATAACTGAACTCAAAACAAAAAAAATTTACATAGACGAAATTTAATCCTAGAGCTGAACCATTTAGATCGATTACCTGCAAGATTTGAATTTGACTGGCTATATTGCCATTGATATTTATGAATGAGAAATATTAAAGAGACTCTCAAAAGTGGGACTCTTCATGGACTCTTTGCTACTTCATATTTTTGGTTGTTTTATAATATTAGCACGAGAATTGAGAGTTCGTAAGAAATATCACTTTGTGATGCTTAGCATTTCTATTTATGTATTGAGAGACCAAATTTTGGTTATAAACGATAAAAACTCTCGTTAAACATACAATCATAACGCAAGTAAGGCACCCTATGACAAAGAGTAATGCTAAAAAGATTAAAATTCTAAACCAAATTTGCAAATCAAATGATGTGTCACCAATAGAAAATAAGCATGTTAATCAACTTTTAATTAATAATCCAATCATCAACAATTATATCATTTGGTTTACAAATTTGGTTTAAAAAATTTGGTCTCCTTAGACCATCTCCAATCCTTGGGTTAAAACCTAAAAATTTTAACCTAAAAAATTTAGGTTTTAAGCCAGAAACATGTTTTCTGCTCCAACCCGTCTGGGTTAAATTTTTAGTCTGAGATCATTAAAAAATAAATTTAGAATTGTTAAAGTAACTTTAAAAAAAGAAAAAGAAATTATGTAGACTATCATAATTTAATTTTATGAAGATTTTAACTTAAAAATATTTAGATTTTTATAAATATTAAAAAATCACTAAACTGGTATCATGAAACTCGTGGAACGGAATATGAAATACATGAAAGAATTTAAAAAAAATTATTTTAGCCATTGGATTTAAATTTGAATCATTAGATCTTTTTCGTTACTGTTAGATTTGATCGTATTAGATTTTAGCCGTTGAATTCAATGAATTTATAATATAAAACTAAAAAAAGTACATATATATGGTGGACTAACCCAGGTTGAATTCTAGGCTAAATTTGCCTAAAAATGAGTTTTGGGTAAAACTCATATTTGACTCATGGGTTGAACCGTTGGAGCAAGTTGGAGTAGATTTATAATCTAAAATTTGAGTTTTACTCTAAAAGTTAGAGTATGTCTTAACATTATCCTCTTATAAATGTGAACTGCCCAAACTCCAAAGCAAATTCTTGGAAACGGAAAAGGATCCTCATCGGATCTTTTTTATGGGGATTGTAGGGATTCAGTGATTGTGTCTGTTCATCAGACATTATGCGGTCAGAAATAGTTTAAAATTTAAAATTTAAAATTAATTATAAATAGTACCTAACCAAAACTAATTGTACGATATACAATGAACGAACACAATCATGAGATTTCTAGAATGTCTAGAAAAAGGATTGAAAACTACATAAATTTTTAATGCAAGGATCTGATTGGAGGGACTCTTTAGATGAGTCTTTTCTTTTTCTAGTATGTAGGAGAAATCATTTCCTCAACCACATTTTTTTACTCAAAATATCCAACCATCGATTCAAAGGAAGAGAGGCTCGTGCAACTGCTTGGAAAGTGGTGCCCTAAATTTACCACGTGACCGTCACGTGATATCACTCGTAAAAATTGGACAAGCAAACGAACACCTTCCCACATCCGTCGTCGTGATCAATCAAAAGAGTTGATGATCATCATCAACTAGTCGTCCAATCGGACGGTGGGCACAAGTCACGTGACAACTGAAAGAGCCACCAAACCCGCCGCTGATCCGCACGTGCGAAAAGCCCACCAGGCAAATAGTAGACCCAACAGAGATCCCTTTTCCAGGTTCCCCGTCCACGTCATCCTGATTGACGACTTTCACGATGATACCGATGAAAAACTCTTGACCGTCAGATGAAATCCCCAGAATCATTTGTGACCGTCCATCAGACTCTTATCCTTTAATTACTCTGCTGGTTGAAGCAATGAAGCCTAGTACAGATATCGGATTCACAAACTAGAAGAAAATCCTCGAGCCTCAGTCTCTCTCTCTCTCTCTCTCTCTCTCTCTCTCCTCTCTGAATCGAAGCGAGGCGAAAGGCAGAGAGCCTTTATCTCTGTTAACCCAGAAAACCTGGTAAGCTTTTTATCTGCTATTTATTATTTTATAATTGCTCTCCTTTTCTGCATTATTTCTAATTACTCTCCTTTTCTGTCTCGTATTGTTGTTGTTTTTTTTTTTTTTTGTTAATTCTTTTTTCTGCATAAACCCTAATAAAAAATAAAGCTAGGATCTGTGGTGTTTCGTTTCAATTGGTTTTTGTTATTAGTGATTGATAGATACGTACTGGAAATGTTCAATTTTTGGGGATATAAGTTGAATAATCTGATGCTAAAAAGGTTTTTATATGTTCATTCCAAAGCTTGATAATTGGGTTTTTCCTGGTTTTTGTGAATCTAGGGTTTTGAGGCTGCATTCTGAGGATTTGGGGATGGAAAATGGTGATAAGAATGCTGGTGGGTCTGAAGTGGGGGAGAACAAGAGTGTGGAAGTTGAGGTTGTTGAGGAGAGGGTTGTAGAGGGGTCTAATGGACTCAAGGATGACGCCGAAGATGAGGTTTTTAAGGAGGCAATAAAGACACAGGAAAATTTGCAGCAGCAGGGGAGCAAAAAGGATTTAGTGGATGCTGCTGCTGTTGGTGAAGAAAGAAAGGCTGAGATGGTTGGTGGTTTGGGGTTGGACTCTCTTATAGAGAGTCCTAATGTCGAAAAGTTTGAAGAGGCAATTGAAGTTCCTGATGAGGTTGGGAAATCTGATGGTGATGATGGGGAGGAGGCAATCGTGGCAGGTGAAGTGAAGGTGGAAAACATGGTGGGTAAGAACAGTGATGATGAGGTTGGAGTGCCAGTTGGAATTGATGATGGACAGACTATAAAAGAAGTAGTCAGTGAGGAAACAAATGGATTGACAGATGATGGGTTGGTGGGCAGCCAAGAAGATGGAGTAAAAGAGGTTACTCAGGTTGGGGCTGGTGGAGGAATAGCAGGATTGACAGGTGGGGATGAGGCTGATGTAAAGTCTGTAGTTCTTGAGAATATGAAGTTTGAAAAAGTCAATTTTGAATCAAATGGACTTGTGGATGATGGATTGGTGGGTAGCCAAGACGTTGAGGTGAAAGAAGTTTCTGAGATTATTACTGGTGCGGAAGTAGCAGGTTTGACAGATGTGGATGAGGTTGATTCAAAGCCCAATGCAGTTCTTAAGAATAAGGAGCCTGAGAGGAATGATATTGATAGTTCAACTTCAGAGCCAGTGCCTACAGATGAAAAATTAGATACTGAAGATCTTGATTCTCCTCAAGTAACTGAATTTACTAAGGAGATTTTGAAGGAAGCTGGTAATAGTCAGGAGTTAGAGGAGAATTCCTTGAGCATTGAGAATCAGGATGAGAAGACTGTGGACCTAGCAAGTGCTTCAGATGGCGTTCCTTTGAAGCTTCAAGATGATAATGGTGTAGAACTGCATGATAGAAACATGGATACAGTGCATCAGGAAGGTCATAGTGCTGATTCAAATGATGCCACCCTTAGCATTGAAGAAAAGCAGGAGGATAATAAGACTGAAAAACCGAAAGATACTTTGACTGTTACAGATGCTGAACATCAAGGTTTCAGTAATGGGGAAGTGAAGGACTCTTTCACTGTGCCGGGTTCAGAGCATCACGAGGAAAAATCTGAACCAAAAAGCGTTTCATCTGCTAAACAGCTGTCTGGGGAGGGTGGTGAGGAAAGGATTGTGACATCAGAAAGGGAGATCTCAGCTCTTTCTGAAACATCTGCAACTGAGAAAACAGAGACGATTCAGGATGGAGCCACTAATTTGAGAACAAAAAGTAACAAAGTTGATCAACCTCAGCGAGTTGGTGAAATTGCATGTGAAGTTCGCGACAACATTGCTGTGCCTGAAGAGCCTGAAAAGAAAGAAAACATTCAGGGAGAAAGGGGAATCACTAAAGTGAACAAAGAACAAGAGATTCAGCCTGCACCAGCTCTTTCTTCATCTTTAAATTCTACACAACCAAGTCCCCCTCCTGCTCGTCCAGCTGGCCTTGGTCGTGCTGCCCCACTTTTGGAACCTTCTCCTAGGGTGGTACAGCATCCTCGAGTGAATGGTACAATATCTCATGTGCAAAACCAGCAAATTGAGGACCCTGTTAATGGAGAGGCAGAGGAGTCTGATGAGACTCGTGAAAAGCTTCAGATGATAAGAGTGAAATTTTTACGTCTTGCACATAGACTTGGGCAGACTCCGCATAATGTTGTTGTGGCTCAGGTTTTGTACAGATTGGGATTAGCTGAGCAGCTGCGTGGTAGAAATGGGGGCCGTGTTGGTGCCTTTAGTTTTGACCGTGCAAGTGCGATGGCGGAACAGCTTGAGGCATCGGGGAATGAACCCCTTGATTTTGCTTGTACCATTATGGTTCTTGGAAAGTCAGGAGTTGGTAAAAGCGCAACCATCAATTCTATATTTGATGAAAAGAAGTTCACTACTGATGCTTTTCAGATGGGGACAAAGAAAGTTCAGGATGTTGTGGGTACTGTGCAAGGGATTAAGGTACGGGTCATTGACACACCTGGACTTTTACCTTCCTGGTCAGACCAGGGACAGAATGAGAAGACTCTCCTCAATGTTAAGCGCTTTATCAAGAAAACACCTCCGGATATTGTGTTGTATTTTGATAGGTTGGACATGCAGAGCAGAGATTTTAGCGATATGCCACTCTTGCGCACCATCACAGACATTTTCGGGGCCTCTATTTGGTTCAATGCAATTGTGGTTCTGACTCATGCTGGATCAGCTCCACCTGAGGGCCCAAATGGTGCCGCTTCTAGTTATGACATGTTTGTCACTTCACGATCTCATGTTGTTCAGCAAGCCATTCGTCAGGCAGCCGGGGATATGCGCCTCATGAATCCTGTTTCATTAGTAGAGAACCACTCCGCTTGCAGAACTAATAGGGCTGGGCAAAGAGTCTTGCCAAATGGTCAGGTTTGGAAGCCTCATTTGTTGTTGCTCTCCTTTGCATCCAAGATTCTGGCCGAAGCAAATGCATTATTGAAGTTGCAAGATAGTCCACCTGGAAAACCTTTTGCAACTCGAACTAGGGCACCTCCTTTACCTTTCTTGCTTTCATCACTCCTTCAGTCAAGACCACAGTTGAAGCTGCCTGAGGAGCAGTTTGGTGAGGATGACAGTCTAGATGATGATCTGGATGAATCTTCAGATTCTGATGATGAATCAGAATTTGATGAATTGCCCCCATTCAGACGTTTGACCAAGGCCCAGGTGGAAAAACTGTCTAAAGCACAGAAAAAGGCATATTTTGATGAGTTAGAGTACAGGGAAAAGCTCTTTATGAAGAAACAATTGAAGGAGGAAAAAAAGCGACGGAAGTTGATGAAAAAAATGGCAGCTGCAGCGAAGGAACTGCCAAGTGATTATGTCGAAAATGTTGAAGAAGAGAGTTCTGGTGCAGCATCTGTACCTATTCCCATGCCAGATTTGGCATTGCCTGCTTCCTTTGATTCTGATAATCCAACTCACCGTTACCGGTACCTAGATTCCTCCAACCAGTGGCTCGTAAGACCTGTTCTGGAACAGCATGGTTGGGATCATGATGTTGGTTATGAGGGTATAAATGCAGAAAGACTGTTTGTTGTTAAAGAAAAGATACCCTTATCTTTTTCTGGCCAGGTTACCAAGGATAAGAAGGACGCCAATGTCCAAATGGAAATTGCTACTTCAATAAAGCATGGAGAAGGGAAAGCGACTTCATTCGGGTTTGATATGCAGACTGTTGGAAAGGACTTGGCTTATACTCTACGAAGTGACACAAGGATCAGTAATTTTAGGAAGAATAAGGCTACGGCTGGTCTCTCAGTTACTCTCCTGGGTGATGCTTTATCGGCTGGTATGAAAGTTGAAGACAAATTTATTGCTAATAAACGGTTCCAATTGATTATGACTGGTGGCGCAATGACTGCCCGTGGTGACGTTGCTTATGGTGGTAGTTTGGAGGCTCAGTTGAGAGACAAAGACCATCCTTTGGGTCGTTCCCTATCAACCCTTGGGCTCTCAGTCATGGATTGGCATGGAGATCTTGCCATAGGGTGCAATATACAGTCTCAGATTCCTGTTGGACGGCATACGAACCTGATTGCTCGTGCCAATTTGAACAATAGGGGGGCAGGACAACTCAGCTTGCGCTTAAATAGCTCTGAACAGCTTCAGTTAGCTTTGATTGGCCTTGTTCCTCTGCTCAGAAAGTTTTTCACTTTTCCTCAACAGTTGCAGTATGGACAATGATGAAAATTAGAATAATGATTGTGCCGTGGCAGCATTGAGGTATAGGTCGTCATCAAGAGTGAGTGAGGAGTTCATCCTGTGATGGCCATCACCACAAGTGAGTGATTCTAAGCTGCTGGTTTCATGTCCTTTCAATCTAGTATTTAATTGATCGTAGTGATTTTAGCTTCGTAACTATATATTGGCAGTTGTTAAATTAAGGTAGTGGACGTGGTGTTGCTTCTATTTCACTCAGGCCTTTGTCTTAATTATCTATATGGGTGTGAAAATTCATTTATATTGCCAAAGTTGTTGATTGCTTGGTATCGCTTCCAATCTCTGCTTATTTAGGTTCTCATGCTCGTAATTCAATACGCATTTCATTTACTTTATATTGTTTGTGGATGGTTGAGGGCCTTGAATATGAAACCGAGTGTTTACTTTCAGTCATTGATATTGTTTGTGCATGGCAGAGGGCTTTGAAAATGACCAAGTTTTTAGTCTTTTGCTGTTGGTGTTTGATCAATGTGAGCTGCACCTAAAGGAAGCCTGGAGTATGAATAATTTTCTGCTTTAACCCTGTCCTTCCACTCGTTTTTGTGAGGGAAGGAAAAGAGCAGCACCAATAGCATTCCTCAGATTCTCTTCTAGTAGGGGGAGTCATCCGCAGGATGGTGGAAAATAACGAGGTTATCTTTTGCTCAACGCTGTTTTTCTTCTTCTCGTGTTTGTAATGCAATTTTGACAGAATTAAGAATCGTGCATCAGTTAGACCATTGTAAACTCTTCTTTGTAATGCACCGGGAGTTCATTTTTCCGTTTAGATTTTTAAGAGTTGTGCCGTTGCTCGAGTGATTAGATCGGAGTTACGAGGTTTCATTTTCTTCTTTAGAAGACAGGACTATTACTAGTCTTGGTAATGCTTGCCTTGACTTGGCTCAGTTTTCCTGTCGCGGTGTGTGGCTCATAATTTCGAATTTACTGTGATATTAGAAGACTGCCAATTGCTAGGTTCTACTTGCAAGGTGCCAAAAGGGATAACAACCAATGACCGGCGGCACCCTTTCAAGTGATATATTTGGTTTAGGTGTTTTCATACTGTTGAAATTTTGTATACATCTTTGAAGGCGACGGCCTTGGGAGTGGTGAATGGAACACAGGACGTGAGATGCTTGTAAATGCTATTAATTACTTGAGCTCCGAGCCTTTTAGTTTGTCTTGAGGAATTACAGTTTAATATTCAAACTTCACTGGTCTGCACAACATTTCTTTGATTTTGGAATTTTATTTTCTGATTTAGTGTAAAGATAAATTTACATAATGAATTGAGTTGCGATAGTATTTTAGGTAGTAAATTTTGTTTAAATAGAAGTTGGTTCTTGAATTAAAAATAATATGAGTGTAAAAGGTAAGTTGGGTATAAAAAGATGTTATATAAGTCAAATAAAATCTCCTTTTGCATTATCATTTAAGATTTTGATTGTAGTGTCTTGAATTATCCTATGAAATTATTTTGAGCACTAACGGATAACCATTATCACTATCACCTCGGCTACCACCGCATTACCACGGCCATCACCACCACTCTCACTGTTATGCCGCCACTATCACCGTGACTACCGCTTTCCCATCACTACCGTCGCCGTTTCCACAACCATCATAGCCGTTTCCTCCACTAGTAAGTTAGTAACACTACTGTACTCGTTTCTAGATTTATACCTCCATCAAGTTAAACTATTAATTCTGGAACCTTAAAACTCAAACTCGAAACACCGTCATTTTCCGTTTGGAATTTCTTTAACTTGCTCAATGAAACAGTAAAAAGATCAAAGTTGTAACTTGTTTTTTAGGGGTGTGCAATTCTTTTTTACTTCTCACACCCTCTTAATTTTCGGCCACTTAATTTTTGGCCGTTGGATTGAATGAATTGAAAAAGATCAAATGATATAAATTAATAAGAGGTATGTTAAAAATAAAAAGAAGTGTGGATATCAGACCCTGTTCTTTATTAACGTAAAAGAGCAACGTTAAAGGTCTACAACTTCATTTTCTAATTTGGTTCAACTTTCAACTCTTATTTAATTTTTTTACTACATCGATATTTTTACACTAAGGGAAGAGTGCTGAACCACACAATAGGCAACCTAATTTGGTATCGAATTCGTCATCCATAAGATTCAAACCGAAGACCTCTCACTTCCAAATGAACAGGAATACCACCAGACCGTAGTATTGAATGACTACCCTTATTTAATTTAAACAACATACATCCAACTCTGCTTCCATATCATTTTAATTGAAAAAAAAAAAAAAAGGAAAACTAATGAAAATGGCTTGAAAACTTTCAGTTTTAATGATAATGACAAAATAAAAGGTAAAGTGAATAGTACTAGAATTGACTTTTTAGTGTAAAAATATGGTTTTACGTTAAAGTGAACAGTACCGTGGATTTTTCGTTAAAACTTCCAAAACAAAAAGTTGTGATGATTATAGTATTCATTATCTTAAGGGTACACCAATGGCTCATATAAATATGTTTTTAGGTGCATTATCTTTTGGACAAGGATTGTCTACCCTCCCACTTTCGGTGTCCTCTCGTGCCCTATTGTTTGTGTGGTCATGGTTAAGCCACGTCAACATTTTATATTACTATTTATTTTTGTCTTATTATCTATAAAAAAAATTAATATAAAATGTTGATATGGCTTAACTGTGACCCTACAAAACAGGAGAACACCGAAGATGAGAATGCATACAATCATTGTCCTTATCTTTCATATCGCCGGCAAAGAATTCAAAAGTTTGCTCATCAAATCCAAACACAAAGTACAAAATTTCGGCTGCATAAACCACAAGGCAAGCCACTTGTCATTTGGCAACGTCCTACAACTTCTTGTGTGCGGAATATTTGCCACAGTTTGTAACATTTTACGTGTATTATATGAGAATAATGTGCTTAAGTGTAAAATACAATAGCTTTAATGAAAATAGGTTTTAAATACTTTTTCTTTACCCAAATAATTCAATATACTTCTTTCTTTCCTTCCATGAGAGACCTTCACTCTATTGTGAGAGTTTTTCCCCTCTTTTTGTAAAGGTTTCTAATCTTGCTCAAAATCGATGGCTCCGACTCTAGTTTTGGCTGGAGTCGGTTGCCAATTTCCCCTTTCTTTTTCTATCTTTTCTGTTCCCCTTTTCTGCTGTGTTTTCCTCCTCTACATCTCAATATGTCCTCCTTTTTTATCTTTGTGGCATCCCTTCCTCTTGTTCATTTGGGCTTCAATCTCCTTCTTTTGGTATTCGTATTTTAGCCATACTTTCCATCGAGATGGTGTGTAGAGTTCTTGTTCTTCAATCAACTTAGGTGTTTCCAACACCACCACCTTCTCTCTATTGTCTACCGTTTCTGGCAGTGTTGCTCATGGTTTTCCATGGGCTTCTTTCTCTTGATAGTCGACTGATTTCTATTTCTTTTAGTTGGTTATCTCTACTTTATGGCTGTGCTCGGAGAAGCTGTTCAGGTTTGGATGATGAGTTTGGTGAGGCGATGCTCAGTGATGGTCATGGATTTGTGCAGATCGAGATGTACTGTTTCGGTGGAGGCGGCTACAATGGATTTCTTGGTTTTGTGTTTTTTGGTCGTTCGGCTTTAGTTGTTTGGCTGGGCTCTTGTTGGATTGTCTGGTTGACCCCTTTTTTTTCTTGTTTATGTTTCTCTCTTTGTGACCTTTTGTATGTAATCTGGTGTTAATAAAATCTTCCTTGACCATAAAAAATAAAATAAAATAAAATAAATAAATAAAATTCAACATACTTTATTTAATGGGAACCCACACGATTTACACCACAAATCTCATTCAATAATGCAAAATTGTAACATTATATTCAACAATGGCACCACTAGTATCAAGGAAATAAGTCTTGACCAATGCAAATCCATGCGCCAACCGGAAAACACCGGTTCCGGCGATGATGGGCAACTCTCTTACCGACTGCTCAATCGGGTTCCGCCCCAAAACGGTGAGACTGCTGCCGCTGTGCTTCCCACTCGTGAAAACAAAGTTCATAGCCGTAAGCAGGCTCACTTCCTCCTGCGAGCTAAACCCATATAGCCCTTGCGCCCGACCAACGAGCTTGGAACCGGGTTTGGGTCCCTTGGTCAAGGGGTTGTCGAAGATGTTGACTAGGCCGAAGTAGGGTGGTGTTGTGGAGGTGTTGGATGCGTTGGCCACCGTCACCAAGGTCCGATGCGGGCCAAAAACGACCTCGTGCAAGTAGAAGTGCAGCATGGTCAGCTTCTGTTGTGCATGGGGGAGGTTTTGATACCATTGGTCAATGTTCTCCCTAGGGTTTTCAATGGCGCTCTGTACCATTAATTGCGTGGACAAGCATGTTATGAACAAAAGGTTGAGAAATAGTATTGTACCGACCCTTTCCATTGCTCGCTGTATGTATCAAAGCTTGAAGGGCAGGGAGGCATTATATAGTGGAACTCTTGAAGCATCCAAAATATATATTTTGTTTTCTATAGCTATATTTTAATTGTTTTGCCCATTGGTGGTGGCCCATTTTTAAAGTTTTGTATTTTGTCAAATATTATGGTATTTAAGATTTTATGTCGGACCAACATTTTCATCCTTCAACGATATGATCCCAACCTCCCACCATTGACGGAGGCATGTTAAGGGCTACCCTAGTAGTTTTTGGTGAAAAATAAAATTTTACGGTAATTTTTATTGATTTTCATATGCAACCCATCATATATGTAGTCATTAATCCACTTTCTCTTGGTTTAATTATATAAAATTTATATAAGGAATACTTTGGATGCGGTCTCTAATCCTTGACATTCTTTGATTAAAACCTTAATAGTATTCAAAGTTTGATCAAAGTTCCTTGACTTTGTACACCTCATTATATTACTATTAATATTTATAGTTTTATAGTTTTGACATTAATTGTTTGATATTTGATGACATTTATAATCCTATAAATTTAAAATCCACTAGTACAAAAAAGGCTTTGCACGACGCAGGACCTTCGTCGCGCAAAGTCAAAAAAACGTCATGCAAAAATTAGCCCAACAGACGTTCGTCGCGCATTCACCGTTGCGCTAAGTGCGTGAAAGCAGGGTTTGCGCGACGAAGAAGTGATCTACGTTGCGCAAAACCACTTTGCGCGACGAATTTCCTGCATCACGCAAAACCACTTTGCGCAACCTAGGTCCTGTGTCGCGCAAAACAACTTTGCGCAACTAAGAACCAGGGTCGCGCAAAGTGGTTTTGCGCAACGCAGATCACTTCTTCGTCGCGCAAACCCTTTTTTTTTTTCTTTTTTTTTTTTGGCCAAAGAATTTTTTTTATTTAATTTTTAATAAATATTGTAATGAAATTCTAAACAATAATTATTAAACCAAGAAAAAATATTTAATTATAAAATATATAAAAATGTACACACATGATGTCCAAACACAAAAAAAAAACTACTAGTCTTCTAGGATACATCATGCTACTGGGTATCAGCTGGGTGAAGTGGCTGGGAAGTTGAAGGTGGAGCAACATCACGTGTTGGCATCGGGATCTGGAGGCCGGACATCGCTAAAGCTTGTACAATCATACTCATCCTCTCGTCCTGGGCCCTAATGTGCTCGCCCTGGGCCGCAAGCTGACCTTTTAGGGTTGTCACTTCCTCCTTCAAGGCATTGACCTCTCCTGTGGACGATCTGGAAGAGGAGGCCGTCTCACGAACCCCCGCCTTCCCCATACATCGAACAACCTTGCCATAACGACGACCCAACTTCTGATCCAAGACCTCAGTCACGATCTGAATATCTGCATCCTCGGGTACATTGACGTCCTCGATCGGGGTCTCCGGGGGAAGCTGGGATGTTGCTTCTTGGAGAACAGCAGTGGACTTTTCCACCATAACATCCTGTAATAATAAAGAACAAACATATAATGTTCAATAACAAAATATAAATAATATTTGAACGATTCGTAAAAATAAGAATAATAAGAATTACATATGCTTACATGAAGCTCCTTAGCGGTCTCATTGCCGGGTCGAACATAAACGTCATTGAACAAGTCAATCTGTGGGAACTTAGAACCCTCCTAAAAAAAAATCATTAAGTAAATTTTATTAGTCAATAATAAAGAATAAAATGTATAAAATTTAAAAATTAATATACTTTTACCTGACGTCGTGCCTCAAGCCTATACGAAAAGGGCTTCGAACCGGAATGGTGGAGAAGTGTCTTTGAGTCCCGAGCTTTCTTGCCAGCAATAGATTTCTTCTGTTAAACATACAATATACATGTTAGTGCGATTATTTGAATGAAATTATTAAAAAAAGCTTAAAAAAATAACAAAAACAGTAAATAATTATTAAAGTATTATGTACATACCACAAATTTTGGATCCATAAAATGTTTACAGAGCCACTCCCAATCCTCTGGCCGGTCCCTCAACTCGTTTGGGCAACCCTCTAGGCGAGCAATCTCCGGATCATCCCATAGCTAAAAATGCGTGTGAAAAGCGCTCTTCCAATCTTTGTACCGGTTTGCTAAGGTCCCCTCTAAGTAGGCACTGACCTCAGGGGATAAGTCCTTAACATCAAAATTGACCTACAAATATGAAAAACAATAAAATAATATTAAGAAATTTAATAATATTAAGATAATATACTTTGGTTTATAATATTTGTAAACAAAATTTAAAAAAAAAATGATAAGGGCTAAAAATTAATTTACTAACCGACAACTTGTCTCGCACCAGTTTCTTCGTCTCCTCGGGAATTTGTGCCCAAGACTCCCACCGCATAGGACAACAATTCCGAATAACATAACCACAGCTAGTAACAATGCTGCTATGCTACTGTGAGGTAGCCGCTCCACGATGTTGCGAGTCATATGCAATCTTGATCAAGGAGGCAGACATACGTACAGCCTGTGCCTCCTTTAGCATTCGATTAGGCCCCCTGGTGTTTTTTTTAGCTGCCCAAAAAAACTTAAATGGTAAAAAGCTTAAATTTGTACAAAAAATTAGGCAAAACCTCCCCTAATAGTATATCATTTCCCAAAACCTTAAAACAGTAATTCACAACCCGCAACATATTTTCACAATCCAACAAATTTTCACAATCATAAAATAATAGTTTTAAAATAGAAAAAAAAATACAACGTAGTGAGAATTAGAAAAAAAACTACCTGTTTGGGAGGCCCCACCATCGACTTCGGAGGAGGAGGAAGCGTGATCACCAGGCTTCGATTGTCAATTTAAAACAATTTACACAAGTGGATACCACAAAATCTTATGTTATACTTAATGAAAGTATAAATAAACTCCAAGTGTTAGTGAAGCTAATGTTTTGATGGGATACGCATTGTACGAAACTAGTTTCAACGATCCAACCGTCAAACTTGTTTGTATATGCTTCGAGATCGCATACGCCAAAAATTGCAAAAAACAAACATTAAGAGATCAAGTAACGGGACAAACCATTTCGACGGCTATAAACGAAAAAATCTTGATTTAACGGTTATTTTAACTCTGATTTTGATGATTTTTTACAACTACACTCTTTAACCCTATATGAATACAATGAACTAATTCGATTGTCAATTTAAAACAATTTACACAAGTGGATACCACAAAATCTTATGTTATACTTAATGAAAGTATAAATAAACTCCAAGTGTTAGTGAAGCTAATGTTTTGATGGGATACGCATTGTACGAAACTAGTTTCAACGATCCAACCGTCAAACTTGTTTGTATATGCTTCGAGATCGCATACGCCAAAAATTGCAAAAAACAAACATTAAGAGATCAAGTAACGGGACAAACCATTTCGACAGCTATAAACGAAAAAATCACAATCTAACGGTTATTTTAACTTTGATTTTGATGATTTTTTACAACTACACTCTTTAACCCTATATGAATACAATGAACTAATTGGATCATCAATTTAAAACATTTACACAAGTGGATACCACAAAATCTTATGTTATACTTAATGAAAGTATAAATAAACTCCAAGTGTTAGTGAAGCTAATGTTTTGATGGGATACGCATTGTACGAAACTAGTTTCAACGATCCAACCGTCAAACTTGTTTGTATATGCTTCGAGATCGCATACGCCAAAAATTGCAAAAAACAAACATTAAGAGATCAAGTAACGGGACAAACCATTTCGACGGCTATAAACGAAAAAATCTTGATCTAACGGTTATTTTAACTCTGATTTTGATGATTTTTTACAGCTACACTTTTTAACCCTATATGAATACAATGAACTAATTGGATCATCAATTTAAAACATTTACACAAGTGGATACCACAAAATCTTATGTTATACTTAATGAAAGTATAAATAAACTCCAAGTGTTAGTGAAGCTAATGTTTTGATGGGATACGCATTGTACGAAACTAGTTTCAACGATCCAACCGTCAAACTTGTTTGTATATGCTTCGAGATCGCATACGCCAAAAATTGCAAAAAACAAACATTAAGAGATCAAGTAACGGGACAAACCATTTCGACGGCTATAAATGAAAAAATCACGATCTAACGGTTATTTTAACTCTGATTTTGATGATTTTTTACAGCTACACTCTTTAACCTTATATGAATACAATGAACTAATTGGATCATCAATTTAAAACATTTACACAAGTGGATACCACAAAAGGAAAAGGCAATGCTCCTCAAAAGAAAAGCAAAAGGAAAAAAAAAAAGGGGAAACTTGATATAGGTCCAATTTTTTAAGCCAATAGTAGGAATAGTCCAATTTATTAAAATTAGTCCAATTCCTTAAATCTTATTATTTTATTATCAATAATTATCTCTTAAATGATAAGATTTATTATAAAAATCAAATTTCTTCCTAATTATCTCTTTGATTATTTATTTATTTTGTTCTTTCTTGTTCTTTATCATGTTTTAAACCCCATTTATAGATTTTAGTTTTTATTTTTATAATCAACCTATATCATAAGTTAATTATATTTATCTACCTATATGACAGATTCTTTTTTATAATCAAGTAAGATTCATGTGTCTTGTTTGTAGATATATTATGTTTTTTCCACCTTTTAGTTAAGTTTCATATCTTACTTATAGGTATAATATACATTCATATATTTGTTACTTGAGTTAGGGTAGAATGATTTGCAGATAGATTTATGTCAATATATTATTTTTTTTGTTATAAGATATTAATTATATTTTTTGGGGTTGAAAATTCATAATATTAGAAGATTTTAATTGATTTTTAATATTTTTAGAAAATATATTATGAGCATTAAAAAATAAATACATATAATTAGGTAATCGGACTCACTCCTAAAAACCATCTATGTTTTTGGACCTGGATCTAAAAGCCCCAAAAAAAAAAAGGATTTTGCGCGACGTAGGTACAATTACGTTGCGCAAAACATATTTGCGCGACGTAGTTGTACCTACGTCGCGCAAAGTTTTTTTTTTGTTTTTTTTTTTTTTTGCCCTTTTGCTTATGAGTACAAAATAAATAAATTGAAATCTACTTAGTAAATACATATACCATTGAATTTGATGGGAAACGCATTGTACGAAACTAGTTTCAACAATCTGACCATCAAACTTATTTGTATATACTTCGAGATCGCATACACCAAAATCGCAAAAAACAAACATTCAGAAATCAAGTAATGGGACAAACCATTTCGATGGCCATAAACGAAAAAATCACGATCAAACGATTATTTTAACTCTGATTTTGATGATTTTTTACAGTTACACTCTTTAACCCTATATGAATACAATGAACTAATTGGATCGTCAATTTAAAATATTTACACAAGTGGATACCACAAAAGGAAAAGGCAATGAAAGAACCCCAAAAGAAAAGCAAAAGGGATTAAAAAAAAAAAAAGGGACTTTGCGCGACGTAGGTACAACTGTGTCGCGCAAAAGAGCTTTGCGCGACATAGATAGGTACACGTAGCGCAAAGTTGGTTTGCGCGACGCCTTCCCAACTACGTCGCGCAAAGCTATTTTGCGCGACGTGTTTCTGCCTTCGTTGCGCAAATTTGAAAAAAAAAGCGGTAAAGATCCTTCGTTTGGCGCCAAAATCTTGCGCGACGCATATAGGGGTCACGCAAACGTCTTTTGCGCAATGAAACTTTGACCGACGATGTATTCGTCGCGCAAAGCTGTTTTGCGCGACGTTGTCTTCGTCGCGCAAAATAGCTTTGCGCGACACTTTTTGTATAGGGTTGCGCAAACACACTTTGGGCGACGAAATTTGATGCGTCGCGCAAATTTCCGTCGCGCAAATTGATTTTTGTACTAGTGATCCCTCATTATCATACTATTAGAAACGGTTACAATAAAAAAATTCAAACATTTTGATTGAATAAATGGATAAAAACTATGCAAAAATAAGAAATACTAAATGGCAAAAGAATGTATCCATAGTGTTAAAAAAATTGGTACATTTCACATATAACAAAGTGGTACATTAATAAAGAAGAATGGGTACTTTATAAATAAATTAGGGTAAAGATAAAAGATTAAAAAATTATGAGTACAAATGAATTTAAAAAAAAATATAGGCACTAAAAGAAATTAATACATGGGTACAAAATCAAACTAAAAAGAAAATACTACAAATTAAAAAAAAATGTTGCAAATTAAAAGTGGGTACAAACTAAAAATATAAATATATGATACAAAGTTTAGGCATAAAACATAAATATACCATATGTAATTTTTCTATCAATGATTAAATATACAATGTCACGTGACGATATACTCATGGTTACAAACACAAATAAAACTTTAAAAAATATGGGCACAAAAAGAAACTAATATATGGGTACAAATTAAAAATGAAAAGAAAATTGGTACAAATTAAAAAATATTTGCAATTTAAAAATAGGTACAAACTAAAAATAAAAATATATGATAAAAAATTTAGCCATAAATATAAATATACTAATTGTAATATTTTTAACACTAAAGGAATAGATTTTGAAAATAAAAATATTTTATTATTCAAATAATTAATGATGTTATTAATACCCAAGGACCTTGATCAAAAATTGAAATGAATAGGATTTTAATCAATGGAGTAACAAAAAGAAGGATGTGAACCTAATTTCTCCTTTATATAATACAGTTTACAAACATTCTCTTTTTCTTACATCCTTTTTTTATTGCTTCTTGTACATGTACAAGTTTGAATTTGTTTGAAATTTAACACATATTTGTTTGGCCACTTAGTACTATGATTTAGTAGTATTCCTCTTCACTCGTAAATGAGAGGTCTTTAGGTTCGATTCTCACCAAAGGCAAATTTGAAGTACATTATTGTCAGCCAATTGCGAGGCTTAACCCACACCTCCACCCCCTTATTGTAAATAATATTGTTTGTTAAAAAAAATGTATTTGTTTAATAACGAAAATTCTTAGTTCACCTTGTGAAAATTTGCTTTAGCTAACTAATACTATGAAAAATACAGTGTCATTTTTTTTATAAAGATTTAAAGCTTTAAGCTAGCCACCTGTGAAAAATTTCTAGCTCCGCCATTACCTACCACCTACTAACACAACAATTATGAAGTTGTATCACAAAAGACTTCAATTCAACTAGAAGTAGAAATGTTTATTCTGTATTATGATTTGTGTTGTCAATTTTTCGATTGATGTGAGAGTTTTTTCTTTCTTCAACAAATATTGCATTAATTGACACCTTGTTGCATGACCAATTAGAATTAACAAGGGAGTTGATTGATAACCATTTTCTTTCTCCTTTTCACTTTTTAAAAACTTAAAGTAGAAACTAAAGGAATGTGTAGAATTATAATTGTATGATTT